CATGGCGGTAAAACAGGTTGGACTGCTGAAACGTGTTTTTGGATCGTTTGAGCCGGCTTTGTTTTCACGTCTGTTAGCCACATATATCCGTCCATGCACCGAGTATTCAATTCACGCCTGAAACCCATGGCTGCAGTGAGATCGAAAGGCATTTGAACATCCGAAGAGAATGGCTACTAAGATGGTCAAAGGTCTACATTCCAAAACCTATGGCGAAAGATTACAGCTCTTGGGGCTATATTCGTCAAACCAGAGGCGATATGATCTTACTGTATCGAATTTTCTAACAGCCCAACCATCCATGTAAATCTCTTTTGGTTCTATCAACCAATGTTCATCTCAGAGGGCATTCACTGAAGTTGGCACTCCAAAAGAGCCGTATCGACTGCAGGGGCCATTCATTTGCAGTCAGAGTGTGCAGCACACGGAACCCTCTGCCACCTCACGTGGTCTGTGCGCCAAAATTAGTATCTTTCAAGCGTCGGATTGATGATGCTCTGGCAAACATTGTTTTAACACCCAACTACATAATATATTCTCCTGTGCTCGTTAAAAACATTACATTACTATTTTGCTTTCATGGGCTAACTGTGATCCTGTGAATCGTATTCCGAACCAAAGTGTAAACACCCTATGGGATTTGATAAGCGAAGTCTCTGTAGGTTTTTTCCCATAATAAATATTTGAAATTTGACACCATTGCAAATTTTCCGTGGGATGGCGTAGAATTATCAAATTTGGTTTGTTTCCATTTCACTTGGATTACCCATTGAGGATACGATTACCTCCAGAGTTTGGTATTAGCTAAATGTATGCGAAATATTAGCCTTACATATGGACCAACTTTATCAAACGATGGACGAAACAGAGCTGTTTTCTGTTCTCAAGGTGGGTGGTTTGTTGTTCGATAATCAATGGAGTGAATTAGTTTTACCATAGAAATCTGGAGAGGTGATAAGTGAAAACAGCATCGAGCGAGATATGGCTACCAATGGTACATATGGAACTAACTGAATCTGTAGTGCAGAGCTAACAGATTCGATCAATACGATGCGGGAAATTGTGGCCACCGCAAGCCATAATTGGTTCTCATCGGGGTTTAGACAGCGTTTTATAGCTGGAGGCGTGACTTGATTCCGTCCCATCGAGAACTCAAACCACAGCATACAAACACTACATTAATTGTGACGAGAGCTAAAAATATACACTCAATTGGATAAGGATAGACTAAACGGCTGTTACGCAACACAGATGAATTTCGACGCGTGTGTTTACGTGCGATTCTTACAGTGTGAGTTGGTGGTATTTTTGGGGTGTTCTACATTGTACTGTACTTGTGTACGTGGGCAAAGGGAACAGCTTGGATTTTAGTTGCAATAGTCTCACATCTTTATCGTTAAAATAAGGTGTAGTACATCAAGCCAAAGCCCATTTCCATGCCCACCGCATCCGCTCCCAGACGATTATGTATTCCCACATTGTCACTTCCCTGCCCAACGATACTGCGGAATAGGCGCTCATCATCACCATGCCTGAGACTGTCTCATACACTCAGTTGAAGGAGGTGTTAATCACCCGCACAGCTGTGTCGGAAGAACGTCGATTAGATGAGTTGTTTGGGGACCTCGAAATGGGCGACCGCACTCCTTCCCAGTTGTTGCGACACATGCGGCAACTCCTTGGCACCCGCGTACTTGATGACGCCATCCTCCGCCAGCTTTGGTTGAAGCGTCTCCCTCCACGCATCCGAGAAGTTTGATCCGTCCTCTCCAACAGTTCGTTGGATGAAATGGCACTGGCCGCGGATATTATGTTGGAAACAAACCCAGCTTCGCATCACATCACCGCTTGCTCCAACCCAGATGGGGTATGGGACATGGAAGAGACTTGAGACTAACTTTGTGGCTACTCGCTGAACTCGTTTGAGGGAGTTACGATCACCCAAAAGCCCAGAGCACGCCATTTGGGCTCCTTATTCTAATAGCGGTCTAACATAAGTGCCATATAGGAGTTGAAAGTCTTCTTTATCAAAGCGAGGAAAGGAGCACTTGCTAAAGTTCAGTATCCCAAAAGACTTTTTTCGGGCATTTTGGTGGTGGCAAGAAAAAGATAGAGAGTTGGTTAACCAGAAGCCAAGGATCTTATGCTGGTTGACAGTCTGAAGTCGAGATGTGTTGCACACATTGAAGGTGTGCGCGCAGCCCCTGATAAAGGACATACACATTTGTCATCATTTATTGGTAGGCTCCAGTTTGATGACCATGCTTTGGTGATATCCATTGCTGCCTGCGCTGCTGATGTGTCACTCCCCCAGATTGTGACATCACCAGCATAGATGGTAATGTGAACTGGGATGTTGTCCGGGAGGTCATTTATGTATAAAATGAAAAGAAGTGGACCTAGAACGGATCCCTGGGGTACACCTATTGTCATCGGGGAAGAGTTGGAGAAAGAGGTTCCTGCCCTACCAGAGAAGGAGCGCGAGGATAGAAAACTGCCAAAAAGATTAACGAGCCTGCCTCTAATATCATTTCCAGCTTGTGCATTAGTGGAGAATGTGGTACTCGACCAAAGGCTTTGCCAAAATCTATGAAGATTGCATGTGAGATTTTACCCTCATCGTAGGCCTGGGTTAGACTTTCCATGACATATGGCATAGTGGTGATGCATGATCATGATAAATACAATAGATGTATGAAAATGCGAAATCCAATTCGCAGAGCTGAAAGAAGTAAAAATTGGAGTGATCCAATCAGGTTGAATAAGTTTTTTGGAACTGCAGAAGAAAATCTGCTCCCCCAAATTCTTTACGAGAGTGGATTACTCTTCGAGCTGTTGAGCATTTTGCGTGGCAAACTGATAACTACTGGTAATGTAGTGTGAATAGTCCAGATCGAATACAAATGCGATGGAAATGTTTGTGATAACTGAGAAAGAGCACCAGAAAGCTATTTCGTCCTCTTTGTGACTCGTCATTAGTGCGTATCTTTTGTGACTGTGTAGCTCAGGAATAAGTGTTTGAATTCCCAATCCGAATGTTAGCGGCTCCAGTCCTGACAGAGACACACAAAATATGTACTGCTGACGAGTCCCAATCGGGACCAAACAGCTATCCAGTATTCTAAGTCGATCATCGCAAACATTCCCATCACATCTGAAGGCCTTTACCTCATGGGTAATTGACGATCACCTAAGGAGTGAAACCCACTCTCAAGACAACCAAGAGTACCAGTGCCTCTGAAAGATCGAATGGGCTATTCCAAGCTTGATACGATTAATTAAACCCTCAAATGTTTGGTTTATTTATTTTTGTCAATCAAATATAATACAGTTGGTCATGGTCTACCTAAGTATCTATTCATTTTTTGTGCTCGCTGAGATTTTTAATGCACGTTTTACGACGTGCATCAGTGAATTCCGGTTCGCTCATGAAAGTTAAGTCTTTATCTGTGTATATTCGGCATTTGGTTATTGTTTTCAACGTACGGATTTTAGTATAGATAACACACGTTTTATTGAGTGGCTCGACAACAACAACAACAACAGCATTAAACGAGGACGGCGTGCGTTTTGAGCGTTTTTCTTGCAAGCTGCTCGTCTATATTCTAAAAACCGAGTTTGATGCGGGACGTATCTTTGTTGCTACCACTCACTACCCAGAATCATATGCGAAATACAGCTGCTTTCATTGAGTCTGAACATACGATAGAGTTTTCTTCCAAAGAAGATGTCTATATTATCGATATTTAAAGTTATAGATGAAAAACAATTGAAGCAAGGTTACAGTAAAATTCATTACTTACTTTACGTGTCAAAAATTCATCACTGGGTACTCTTTTTGTATTGCTATTGCCAAAGCCAATATATTGCAATCTACTTCACTGATTATTTGTAAAATAATTCGAATGGACTAAACCAAGCTTGAAATAAAATTATAATACCTTAATTTAATCACCCCACTTGAAAATGCTTCTATCTTTTACCAGCTTCCTTGTTCATTTGTTCGAAGGGTCATTCTTTTAGACCGTGGCTCTACTTTCCCTCGTTGTACACAGATTCATTGAGATGTTGCAAAAGGACTATCGGGTTTACAGCTTAGATGAGTCGAGTCAAGTGACGGAATCAAACGTTTCATGATTTGACTGACCGCAATTGCGTCAATCCGTGTGTGAGGTCTCTTGTATGCACACTACTTGCCGCATTCTCTACAGGCTTGCACAGAAGTCGACACACCTGTCTATAGCTATCGCTTACTGAGTATCACTTTGTTTAAACAGGTTAAACAGGTTTTCATAGTTCTGCCCAGTTTGGATTTTCCGGTTGATTCCTTCAACATATAGTTTCCATTGAACTTTTTCCTATATAATTCACTTTTTCCANATCGTTCACCCTCCCGATTTTCGGTGCATTCAATTCACTCTACTCAAACGCTGTTATAGCGGGACGTGCAAGAGGTTCATATATGTAAACTATCCGGATATTCCCTCTGATCAATAACAACAACAAGATCACGTTTCTAATGTTTTCGATTCAGTTCAAAGTGAAATAAATGATCAAACAACGGTAGTCGGGGAGGGACTAAGCACTAATATGACAAACTGACCTTAACCGCATAAACCTCAAATGTGCGACGGTGTACACAGCGTTGACAGGTTGCATGCGCGCCACGACCGATGACCTCTTTCAGTTCATAATCATCAGTGAACGGAGTGGTCTTCACATTCGGGAAAGCAATAGCGCCCGATGGCCCGGTCACTTCCAGGCGGAGGTTAGATTCGGCTCGCTTGCTGTTGGAATCAAGCGGCTTGGCAAACCATGAACCTGGTTCCACACTGGAACGGGAATCGACACCGAAACCAGAATAGACAGAATCACTCATTCGACCGTTGTGATCGGTACCGTATGAGCCAAGTGGACCATTGTGATATGGAGTTATTGAGGCAGCTGGTGTGGGAGATCGAGTAAACACCGGAGCTGGAAAAACAGAAGACAATTAACCGCTTTGTTAAAGACCTCGTATCGATCGCTAATAAGAGTTCTAAAGGGAAATTGCTTCGAACTAAACTAATGAACTCCAATAAGAATGATCGAAACCTCATTAAGTAGGCTTCCTTGTGAATTAATATCCAATTCGGGAAGATAAATGCTAATACTGAGATAAAAGTCTATGCCACAATAAATCTAGAATGTATATGACAAGCAGAAATCAAGTGATATGACACAAAACACATCTCCTGTCATAAGGTGGGTCATAAGAGTGAGTTAAACATTACGAACCTCAAACATGAACAGTCTGTTGGAAGCTTCTTTACAACGAGAATACCTAATGTTTGGCGTATCCCATGATGAGTTATATACTGGTCGATCAACACAACTTCACTCGACCACAATAACACCATCATGGATAACTAACCTACTTTAAAAAAAAACGAATAAATCATTTATTCCCATATATTTATTGAGTATTAGTCATAGTTTAGACCACGCGCATCGATTTAGAGTCAAATATGCAAACATAAATCCATAACCTCTCAGATTTCCGAGTCTGTTGCAAATGTAACTCCCAGTCAAATGAACTTTGCCGTGGTATCGTCAAAAGGTGAAAATATTCGGTTCTATCTTATTTGTTTGTAACCGATGTACTGTCAAACTACATGGACTTCTGTTTTCACTGTAACGCGATAGTAGTGATGTAACAAATTCAGAC